TTTTGGCGGTAACCATAATGGTGGTCGAGTAGATCATGTTGCGCGGGGTCGAGAATCCTCACTCCGCGCAAGGGGGATGATCGCACCACGTTGTGTTCACATGGTCAAGCACCCTCGAGGCACATACACAGTGTTACAAGTGTCTCTCGAAGTGAAAGCACCAGAAAATATTGTAAGTGATACGCAGCTGTCATCCGTATGCAAGGAAGTAAGCACAAGATGTCGAAAACCCTTAGCAGGATGCAGCGCACCCTTCATGCGACTCGCCGAATATCTCACGGCGCTTCGCGCTTGGTGATGTGAGAGCCTGGTCCGGTGAGAACCCGGCGTGCTCCGTCCCGGCTTTGTAGGGATGCGAGGTCAATGGCTTAACAACTACAGCATGCACGACTATGAGTATACCCCCCGCCGGTGCCATGACACCGATGGGTGTGAAATCAACCATGCGTAGCATGACAAACACCTTACCGTACTCCACATACCAAACTGGGGAGAGGAATGCGAAACAAACACCCTTACGCAGCGAGAGGCACTGCCAAGCAACCATTCGTTACGCTGCTACTGCTGCTTCAGCTGCGCAGCCGGGGGAGACAGAAACGTGGGCATATCGACCTCGCCAAAGTGTCGGTGACAGCGGTGTAGGTAGATTCATTCCAGGAACATCTCGCGATTGCGCTGAAAAGCTGATCATCCCAAGGCCCTATCTTTCGACCTAGCCCCCCCAAGCGTGTCCATCGGAGCGCATCACGAAGCATTGCTCTTACCTCCCGTCACCCAGCTTGGGTGGGGAAGAGACAGGGCGCCCTTGAGCGGCCCAGCCGCCTGTGACATTTGTCCCGGCACAACAGACAGGACACGCAGCCGGAAACGGTGAATTTCGTGCAGTCGCGAAACCCAGCGGCGGTGGGAGGACGAGGACAGCGCATTGCCAACACGTGCACGCGGGAAGCTTTAGGGGGAAACACATGCTTCTACAATATCCGACCAGATCCAGCCACGGAAAGATGGATGAGGTCGTGGCCACCGGGTACAAGAACAAAACTGTCGGGGATCTCCATGCAGCGGCAGAAAACCAAACAATCCTGAACGAACCATCGGGCGACAGTAGAGGGCACCGCAAAATCGAAAAAAGGAGGGGTGCCGATAGGGAATTCGAAAAACGAAGACAGCACGATGAGCGAAACATGACACGAAACATGACACGAGACAACATATTTCCGCGGGGAGACATGTTCGACGTGATTATCGCGAGACAAGGACGAAAGCTGCGAAACGGGAGGGGGGAAACCGCAACATACCATAGCCCCCAAGCTACAGTACACCTCACCTTCATTCCCACCACAAGGGAAGGCATAAAGGCGAGGGCCGGGCCGGGGAGACCGAACGTCGCCGCAACTACAGCGGGCCCAGGGCAGAGTCCGCCCATTCCCCAACCGATGCCAAACAGCCAGCCCCCCAGCACCAGCGGCACGTCCAACTACGGGAGGGGAGAGATTGACGAAAGACGATCGGAAGGAGGGGTGATGTGTCGCAGACCAGGAACGTCGTCCTTAAGAACTGTTGAAGATACGACCCAGTTCCGTCTGTGAAGTATAACGATCAACAGATAGTCCACTTACACCAACCATGTTAATTTCGAACCTAAATCTAACTTCGCACCGGGTGCCTCCGGATCCAATTAAATACGACAGCACCTTGGAGGCACTCGGAAACTCCGGCTGCTTCGCGGCCAGCCTGTGGCCTTGATTGATCGTCTCAACTTCACCGGAAGCATCGGACAGAAGACAGACGTACAAAATGGCTCCAACAGCGAAAATGGCAGCGTTTCTCGTCTGGTTTACTAGAAAACCTTACTACGTCGCCCCAACCACTTGCTCCCGCCGTGGAAAAAAGAAATGTACACACGGCAAGAAACACGTGTTCAGCAGGACGGATGAAGTTGAACCGAGTACCTCAGTGCCTGTGGGGATCTCGAACTTCTCAGCGAGCGGCGCACCGGTAGCCAGCGACTGCTCCTCTTCCGCTTTGGCCGGGAGACGGCACAGCGGCGCGCCGAGGTTTCTGGTGACGAGGGGGAAGCCCACGAGACCGACCATCACGCCGAAGCCGAGAACGAACATCAGGGACGGGTCCCAGCTGTTGCGCCTGTCAGCGCGAAATAAGGGTCAAACAGGAAAGGGTAGAGGGTGGAGAGGTGTGTAAGTGCTGGCCACACACAGCGCAGCAGCGACTCCAAAACTGAAAACAAGCAAACGGACAGCACGTGAGGAGTAAATAGTGATGCAACAACGGCTGTGCCAGCCAAGCAGCACCCGGGAGCTGAGACGGGCATCAAGGGACAAACCGTCAAAGTAAAACAGCTGGGACAACCGGCACAAAATGGACATAGGACAAAAGATCGCCGGACTATTGCGAGGAACGCTGCCGTTCAAGTAATTAGGTAACGAGCAAAGGCTCGACGAAGCCGAGGGCTGCAATCAGCAGGCAACAATACATATACCGTCGTGCCAGGCGGCCGAAGAGCGTTCAAGAACGACACAAGTACCCGCAAAACAAAAAATCAAGCAACTGCACAGACTGCAGCAGCCGTCTTCCGACAACTAACATCAAGCCCACATGGCTGACAACGTCAACAAGTACACCAACAACATGCCTATCGACGAAAAACCTTGTCAGTCTGAGGCCGTCGTGGTTATCGTGCAGCGAAAAAAAATCAGGCCAACACAACGACGAGGGGATTTGCGGCACGGTAGCCGTCGATACAAAGCCAATGCCCGTCTGTTGTGCAGCCATAATAGCTCATAGGGCACCTGAGCGCGAGGAAGTTGACGACCTTGGCACGCTGGGTCATGCCTGAAAGCACGAGCCCTCCGGCGAAGCTGCCTCCGCACAGGAAGGACACAAGGTTTGCCTTCCACTGTGCACGTTCCTCTCTGTGTTGCAAAAAAAACACCAACATCCACGATATGGGAATTTTTTCGTGTGGGTTTTGGCAGGAGGAATCCACGAAGGAAAAAATATCACAAGACTTCATGAGAAGGCGACACAGAGTGAACCTCTGTTCTGCGTAATGACAATCTGTTCTGCAATACAGCTGTAAAATAAGACTTCATTAGAAGGCGACACAGAGTAAACCTCTGTTCTGCGTGATGACAATCTGTTCTGCAATACAGCTGTAAAATAACCGGGTATTGACTTTCTGTTTTGCAATACAGCTGTAGAATAACTGGGTGGTGAAATTCTATTCTGCAACATAGCTGTAGAATAACGAGGCTTCCTGATGACTACCGAGGTACAAAACGTATGTTGCGCGAGGACACGAAATCGCCCTCATGAGAAGTTCTTGAAAGTGAAGCACGAATGGAGTGATCGCCACAAAGGGTCTCGGAGAAGCAAAAACAATTGCACAGACTACGCAACACTGCTGGTACTCAGAAAAAAAAAAAGACCCGCCCAAAGCAAGGTCGAGACGATCGTCAAGGGTGGCCAGCCGTTAAGGAACAACGTGAAACGGTGGGTGATGCACACTTGCTGAGGTCTATAAAAACCGAAGTTCAAATCTGCGCGATTGAGCATACAAGAAAGAAGCATGCCTGCCAAACACAACTTGCAAATATACGACGGGACCCATCCTACTTCTTACCGCTTGGTCAGGGTAAGCAGTGTGCCCACAGCTGCTGCCGCGAGGGATGCGTACCTCGCCGCCAGCACGGGTGTCTCCTAGGGCGGGGGGGGNCATACCAAAAATTAGAGTGAGCTATCGGCGGGCCGGGAGCGTGGTACGAAAGGCCAGTACGTTCACAAAAGGAGATCGGTGGATGATAATGTGCCAAAACCAACTGATCAGACATATTGCGGGCAACTTGGTGGAACCGAACAAACCACCAGTTCAGATCTTCAGGACACAAAATATCGAAATCCATGCTTGAGAGCTTCATCACAATAACAGGTGCGCAGGAAAGTGTTCCGCAAACCTGTACAGCAGGATGCCAGAAACAAGCCTCGGGCATAAAAAAATTATGTTCCCAAAAGAGGTGGAACCATGTTCGTTACACGCTTTCGGTGTGCACAGCGGAGTGCAGAGGGGTCTTACCAACTGAGCTAGCAAGGGCACGAAGAAACTCTGTAAAAGCGCGCGCGCACTCCTGATAGACGCACGTTCGCGATCGCGAAAAAGACGTCTTCATCGGAGCAAGCAGAAGAAAACCAAAAACGGAGTCTTCAGCGTAGAGAAAAAAGGGCCAAACATGGTCGAACTGTTGCCAATCATGGCATATACACTTCTCACGTGCGTGACGAGCGCAGCCCCTCCGCTGGCGCTGTCATTCCAGGCCGCCAACACGCTTGCCGTCGCAATGCCGCTGATCAATCGGTGAAAGAAAGAAAAACAGCAACAGATCGAATCAGTCATGAAGAACAGCAATATATCGAACCAGCCGTAAACATCAGCCGTAACTAACTTCCTGCAAAGGCGGGAGGGGCAACGACGGGGTCCGCAGGCAAAAGCCGTGACCAGCACCCTCGCCGGATTAACTGCTACAGAGTACGAGCCCGCGCGGCTAAGCAACGATTCGTCAAGAACCAGAGGCTTGTGTTTCTACCAAAAAAAAAAAGGGGGCTAAGAAAGGCGCACCTGAGCGGTGGGGATGTAGTATACGACAAGCTGTGCTTTGACAGTGAAGACAAAGCGAGAAAAACTGAGCCTCAGCCCGATCTGTCCGTGATACAAACACAAAAAAAAAACTTAACAGGGAACCATTCCAACGTCATCCCCCAATGATGTACACCTAGAAATGAAGCACAGCTGCGGCTAAGAAGGGGTATATCCGCCGGCGGAGACTATAGTCAAGCCGACATTCCCGCCGACCTCCATGACAACCAGCCGGGGAAACGAATTGCGAACACGTTACCTGTTGGGCGAATCTCTTCCGACCGTTTACCACATTCGGTTTCAAAGACTAGAATGATACCGCGAAACACACACGCCACCAACGCTTGTGAAACACTCCCACCAGTCGTCCCCAAACAAAAATCAAACCAACAGCCACAACCCTCCCCCCAATCATGCATCCACGGTGTGCCAACAACTTACCTGGTGAGGAACGTGAGCGTTGCGACGATGCTGCGCCTCGACAACCGTGGCAGACCGCACAGCCCGTGCCCGCTCGTGCACCCGCTGCCAAGCCTGGTGCCCAAGCCCACGACAAAACCCGCGACCGCGAACCGCAGGAGAGACAAAGCAGG